TTAGGGATGATTTTAATATAATTTTAATTACGACACAGCTACTAATATTTGGCTTTTAATTTGGTTTTAGAGGGGTTTTTATTTTGGTATTTATTTATTTTATTTTGGTATTTTATTGTTACTTGTTTTTAATATGCTGTGCACCGCCCTGAGTCCTTCGGGAGAAGGGCGGTATATAAATCAAATTAATAATAATAAATAATAATAATAATAATTGACAGAAAAGAAGGACTAGTGGTGACATGATATTCCATTATTCCAGTATTTGAGAGGTTGCCACAAAGAGGAGGGGGGTCAATTTATTTAACAAAGCACCTGTAGGCAGGACAAAAAACAATGGATGGAAACTAATCGAAGAGAGAAGCAACCTGGAACTAAGGATAAACTTTCTAAACAGTGAGGACAATTAACCTGAACTAGAAATGAACCAAAAGAAAGACATTCCTCCAACAGAAGGAAAAAGGATTTTTTTTTCTTCTAAGCTTTTACTCCTTGTAACATCTCTGTAACTGTGAAGCTGATCATTTCATGAACAAGGGTTTGTAGCTAAAGAAAAACATAAGTTTGAATCATTCCCCCCCCCAGGCTTGTACACTTGTGTTATTTATTTATTCAATTTATATACCCACCCATCTCACTTTTATGCATTTCTAGGCAATTTATAATAAAACAAATAAAATTTACAACATATGCATTGTAAGAAACAAAAATAAAAACACATAGTCGCCAGACATAATAGAACAGTGGTTCTCAACCTTTTTAATGCCGTGACCCCAACCGGTCGTAAGTCGAGGACTAAACCGGTCGTAAGTAGAGGACTAAACCGGTCGTAAGTCGAGGACTACCCAACCGGTCGTAAGTCGAGGACTTTCCCTGCCCGGGAGCGCCGCGCATGCATGGTTCCGCCCCCTGTGCCGGCCGAGGCATAGCTGGCATGCGGCAGAGATGGAGCAGGCCGACCACCAGCTGGCCCAGCCCAAGGGAGGTAAGGCACCCGCCGGAAAAGGGGGAAAAATGTCGGACAAAAAAAATGGTGGACAGCCTTGCTTGGCGACCCCCATGAAATGGTCGATCGACCCCAAATGGGGTCCCGACCCACAGGTTGAGAACCACTGTAATAGAACAAACCTTCCGTACAACCCTTGGTTTACCGAGGGGCTGAGAGAGATGAAACGCCGGAAAAGACGCCTAGAGAGCAGTTGGAGGGCCACCCGAACCGAATCCGACCGAACACAGGTAAGGATACATGTTAGATCCTACCTTGTGGCGATGAGGGTGGCGAGGTCTAATTACTACTCCACCCTCATTGCGTCATCAGATAATCGCCCGGCCTCCCTC